TAATGAAAGATATGGCAAAATATAGTGAAATACAGCTAGCATCAAAATGAAGACAATAAAACCAGGGTTGAATTACTACTACTACCTACCCTAGTTAAAGCTAATAATTCAGAAGGTTTCGTGCTCCCCAATGCACAAGCCTTCCGTCACCTTCTTCTTAGCTGTAGATAAAAGTACGCTCATACATAAATTATTAGTTCTAGCAATTAATTATGTCATCCTTCCAAACGACGTAGTTTTCCATATATCCCCAAATCTCCAATTCATCACAGAATGCAATTTGAAATGCATTTCCATTTGTTTCTGCCTGCAAGCTTTAATGATATTTAATTATTGTTATCCCCAAAGTTAACTAGGCATTTGAACTTGTTGATTAGCGGTGTGCGCGGGTCATAAACCCGCGCTACCTATTAAAACTCACCCTCGTCCCGTCAACTAACGTTTCTTGATTTTAAAGAATCAAACTTGTGGGTTTTCGACGGGTTTAGGATAGACCGGTCCATGGCGGGTTTATAGTAAGACCGATTTCAGGGTCGAAATTTTTCATAAATTAAACATGTTATTTTTTTAATAACTTATAAGTTTTACGCAAAATTATTTAGAAATTAAAATGAATAACCAAGCGTAAAATCTTAAATTGAAACAAACGTGAATAACATCAATAATAAATGTCAAGAGTAAATTAAAATTAAATGTTTGAACAATAAACCCATTAAAAAGAGTAACTAAATTCAAAGCTTTATAATACAATATTTAAAATAAAACAAATAACTTTAGACAAAATAAGACGATGTTGTCGTTATATATATAAGCTTTGACATGTAAGAAATACGTTATCCATGTATTATATATATAAATTTATTGTACTACATGATAGAAAGAAAATGACGTCGTTTTGTATGGCGGGCAGGATGGGTTTCACGGGTTTAAAAAAAAATTGAACCCGATTTAGATCCAAACACGCGGATATTCTCCATTTCAAGACCCAATCTTATTGATAAATCTATACATCCGGTCCTAGCGAAACGGTTTTATCGGGTTTGAACGGGTTCAACGGGTTGATGGATCCGACTTGCTCACCCATATTGTTGATAATAGTAACAAATAATTGATAATCCAACTAGTCATCTATTGTTCATAATTTCTCCAGTTTTGAGGGTTAGAGCGAACTGATTTTATGGCAGATAACGGTCGAATCGACCGGTCCGATTCTAACAACATTGATAAATTATATGCTACACATAAAATTTGATGGCATGATTAGGCTAGGGGACTAGTGAGGGGGTGTTGTGTTGGTGGTACAACTGGTGTTGTGGTTGCTGAAAGGGTGGTGGTATGGGAGGTGGAGGTGGTTCCGGCGGTGGGTTGGAAGAAAGGTGTTGTAAAGATGGTGATGAAGACGGTTCCATTCTAGAGAGAGAATTTTTTTTTTCTTTTTTTTTTTGGCTTAATTTTCTTTTTTTTTTTTTTTTTTTTTTGTGTTAATTTGGTCTTGAATTTAAACCATCAATATTAAGTTTAAACCATCCCTATGAGGACGGTGTCCAGTTCAGGTTAATATTTTGTTGGATGCTGCCATACCTGGGTTATAAAGATACAAGACGGTGTCGAGTTCAGGTTAATATTTTGTTGGATGCTGCCATACCTGGGTTATAAAGAGACGAACCATCAATATTAAGTTTAAACCATCTCTCAGGGGGCGGTGTCCAGTTCAGGTTAATATTTTGTTGGATGGTATTAACCTTCGGATCTTTAGGTACCAAGTACTTGCCAATATTTAACCAAATTTTTGTATCAAAATGAAAGCAAAAATGAAATACTCAGATATCACCAATAAGGTATATAGTGAAAGATATGGCAAAATCTACCTTATTCATGAATCAAAATGAAGGCAAAAGTGAAATACTCAGTTATCACAAATAAGGTATATAATGAAAGATATGGCAAAATATAGTGAAATACAGCTAGCATCAAAATGAAGACAATAAAATCAGGGTTGAATTACTACTACTACCTACCCTAGTTAAAGCTAATAATTCAGAAGGTTTCGTGCTCCCCAATGCACAAGCCTTCCGTCACCTGCTTCTTAGCTGTAGATAAAAGTACGCTCATACATAAATTATTAGTTCTAGCAATTAATTATGTCATCCTTCCAAACGACGTAGTTTTCCATATATCCCCAAATCTCCAATTCATCGCAGAATGCAATTTGAAATGCGTTTCCATTTGTTTCTGCCTGCAAGCTTTAATGATATTTAATTATTGTTATCCCCAAAGTTAACTAGGCATTTGAACTTGTTGATTAGCGGTGTGCGCGGGTCATAAACCCGCGATACCTATTAAAACTCACCCTCGTCCCGTCAACTAACGTTTCTTGATTTTAAAGAATCAAACTTGTGGGTTTTCGACGGGTTTAGGATAGACCGGTCCATGGCGGGTTTATAGTAAGACCAATTTCAGGGTCGAAATTTTTCATAAATTAAACATGTTATTTTTTTAATAACTTATAAGTTTTACGCAAAATTATTTAGAAATTAAAATGAATGACCAAGCGTAAAATCTTAAATTGAAACAAACGTGAATAACATCAATAATAAATGTCAAGAGTAAATTAAAATTAAATGTTTGAACAATAAACCCATTAAAAAGAGTAACTTATAAATTCAAATCTTTATAATACAATATTTAAAATAAAACAAATAACTTTAGACAAAATAAGACGATGTCGTCGTTATATATATAAGCTTTGACATGTAAGAAATACGTTATCCATGTATTATATATATAAATTTATTGTACTACATGATAGAAACAGAATGATGTCGTTTTGTATGGCGGGCAGGATGGGTTTCACGGGTTTAAAAACAAATTGAACCCGATTTAGATCCAAACACGCGGATATTCTCCATTTCAAGACCCAATCTTATTGATAAATCTATACATCCGGTCCTAGCGAAACGGTTTTATCGGGTTTGAACGGGTTCAACGGGTTGATGGATCCGACTTGCTCACCCATATTGTTGATAATAGTAACAAATAATTGATAATCCAACTAGTCATCTATAGTTCATAATTTCTCCAGTTTTGAGGGTTAGAACGAACTGATTTTATGGCAGATAACGGTCGAATCGACCGGTCCGATTTTAACAACATTGATAAATTATATGCTACACATAAAATTTGATGGCATGATTAGGCTAGGGGACTGGTGAGGGGGTGTTGTGTTGGTGGTACAACTGGTGTTGTGGTTGCTGAAAGGGTGGTGGTATGGGAGGTGGTGGTGGTTCCGGCGGTGGGTTGGAAGAAAGGTGTTGTAAAGATGGTGATGAAGACGGTTCCATTCTAGAGAGATAATTTTTTTTTTCTTTTTTTTTTTGGCTTAATTTTCTTTTTTTTTTTTTTTTTTTTTTGTGTTAATTTGGTCTTGAATTTAAACCATCAATATTAAGTTTAAACCATCCCTATGAGGACGGTGTCCAGTTCAGGTTAATATTTTGTTGGATGCTGCCATACCTGGGTTATAAAGATACAAGACGGTGTCGAGTTAAGGTTAATATTTTGTTGGATGCTGCCATACCTGGGTTATAAAGAGACGAACCATCAATATTAAGTTTAAACCATCCTTCAGGGGGCGGTGTCCAGTTCAGGTTAATATTTTGTTGGATGGTATTAACCTTCGGATCTTTAGGTACCAAGTACTTGCCAATATTTAACCAAATTTTTGTATCAAAATGAAAGCAAAAATGAAATACTCGGATATCACCAATAAGGTATATAGTGAAAGATATGGCAAAATCTACCTTATACATGAATCAAAATGAAGGCAAAAGTGAAATACTCAGTTATCACCAATAAGGTATATAATGAAAGATATGTCAAAATATAGTGAAATACAGCTAGCATCAAAATGAAGACAATAAAATCAGGGTTGAATTACTACTACTACCTACCCTAGTTAAAGCTAATAATTCAGAAGGTTTCGTGCTCCCCAATGCACAAGCCTTCCGTCACCTGCTTCTTAGCTGTAGATAAAAGTACGCTCATACATAAATTATTAGTTCTAGCAATTAATTATGTCATCCTTCCAAACGACGTAGTTTTCCATATATCCCCAAATCTCCAATTCATCACAGAATGCAATTTGAAATGCGTTTCCATTTGTTTCTGCCTGCAAGCTTTAATGATATTTAATTATTGTTATCCCCAAAGTTAACTAGGCATTTGAACTTGTTGATTAGCGGTGTGCGCGGGTCATAAACCCGCGCTACCTATTAAAACTCACCCTCGTCCCGTCAACTAACGTTTCTTGATTTTAAAGAATCAAACTTGTGGGTTTTCGACGGGTTTAGGATAGACCGGTCCATGGCGGGTTTATAGTAAGACCAATTTCAGGGTCGAAATTTTTCATAAATTAAACATGTTATTTTTTTAATAACTTATAAGTTTTACGCAAAATTGTTTAGAAATTAAAATGAATGACCAAGCGTAAAATCTTAAATTGAAACAAACGTGAATAACATCAATAATAAATGTCAAGAGTAAATTAAAATTAAATGTTTGAACAATAAACCCATTAAAAAGAGTAACTTATAAATTCAAATCTTTATAATACAATATTTAAAATAAAACAAATAACTTTAGACAAAATAAGACGATGTCGTCGTTATATATATAAGCTTTGACATGTAAGAAATACGTTATCCATGTATTATATATATAAATTTATTGTACTACATGATAGAAACAGAATGATGTCGTTTTGTATGGCGGGCAGGATGGGTTTCACGGGTTTAAAAAAAAATTGAACCCGATTTAGATCCAAACACGCGGATATTCTCCATTTCAAGACCCAATCTTATTGATAAATCTATACATCCGGTCCTAGCGAAACGGTTTTATCGGGTTTGAACGGGTTCAACGGGTTGATGGATCCGACTTGCTCGCCCATATTGTTGATAATAGTAACAAATAATTGATAATCCAACTAGTCATCTATAGTTCATAATTTCTCCAGTTTTGAGGGTTAGAGCGAACTGATTTTATGGCAGATAACGGTCGAATCGACCGGTCCGATTCTAACAACATTGATAAATTATAGGGCGACTTACCAAAACCCCCCTGAGGTAAGTCTGAATAACGGAAATACCCCCACGTTCTCGTAATTACGAAAACCCCCCTTGAGGTATGCAGACATCTTACAAATCGCTCTAACGGTGTTAAACTCGATAGAATCTTTTTGATTCTGCCGAATATTCCTCTGATAATACCAATTTTGCCCCTTTAACTTTTACCCCTTTCGCCGAACGCTCGATATTCCTATCCCGCATCACCAACAAATGCTCGGAAATCAACGGCCCGGAAATCCGGCCGACCCCAATCACTTCACAACTTCAGGAAGAAACCCGACCCGGAATTGGAGGATCCGAATCAACCAAACCCAGCTTGTTTCACAGGCCTCCACAGTCCTCCTGCAACGACCCGGAATTAGAGGATCCGTTTCTTCGCGGCTGCGCGGCCGGCTGATTCGCGCACGGCGCGCAGTGGCGGTACGCACCCGACGCCTTCAGCGCCATATCCTTGATCTAAATTGAACATTTTCCCCCAACCACCAAATTTCAGAGGCGAAAATATCCCCAAAATCCGACGAAACCAGAAGATGAATATGTCAAAAAATGTACGAATCAACGATGAACAAAACCTGAGAAGTGAGGGTTCTAACGGCCTGCTTAGTAGGTACGCCGCCGTCGGAGTTGCTGATCTTTTCAACAGAGTGGTGGTGGTGGTGGTGGTGATTATGATCGATGGACGGCGATTCATCACCCCCACCTTGCTTCGAACGCGCTATGCATGTAAGCATTTTTTTTTTCTCGTTTGGGCAATTACGCAAACAGGTTTCGGTCACTCCTAAAAAAAAATTAAAAAAAATCCCTGCATCATCAAAAAAATCAAAATTATAACCAAACACGGCGTATAACTAAAAAAAATATAAAAAGTAATTAAATAATTAAGGAGTACCTGATCGGGAAAAAAAAATGGGGAGATGAGGTAAAGGAGAAAAAAAAGAGAGTAGTGAGTAGTGTTGGAAGGTGATGAGGCAGCTTTAATGGCGTCGCTTAAAATGCGCCATCACAGAGATTTCTGTTCATCATAATTATTAATTGTACAGTAACAAAAAGCATGAGTCAAATCTTGTAATTTATTTTAATGGAAAAAAAAAAATACGTTTCTGGGTTTAAATTTATAGATATAATACAGAGGAGAAAAGAAGGGGTACTTGGTGGAGAAGGAAGGTGATAAAGGGGAGGATACTTGATACAAATGTATTGTAGAGGCTAGCCTTTGCTTTTTTAACCTCCTTTATTTTTATTTTATTTTTTACATATTTAACATAAGGATATTTCACGTTTTCGGTTAAAGAAAATCGATAAACCGTTAGTCAAGGGGGTTTTCGTAATTACGAGAACGTGGGGGGATTTTCGTTATTTAGGCTTACCTCAGGGGGGTTTTGGTAATTTGCCCTAAATTATATGCTACACATAAAAAATAAAATAAAACAAAAAATCTCTTAATTAAACTTCACATTTTGCATGTGTCAAGCATACATTTTAGATTATAATTTTTCTTCAAATTAAAGACTTGTATTTCAGATTTCTATTATGATACTTTATAATGTCTTTTAAATATTAACATATGACATCAGTTTAATATTGGAAATGTCATTGGTTTATAAAATGGGAATTATAGCAGCTTTACTGGTATAGATCTTTGAGAGAATCCAAAAACAAAACCAGTCGAGACAGCAGCGGCGGCTGGCTGATGTGCTGTGTGCAGAAGCGTGGAAGACAAAGTATGTACGTGTTTTTACTTGGAAGATGAAAAGATATGTTTATTTTTTTAATTCAGATTTTTTTTGTTAAGCGTAAAGTATGAAACGACGTCGTTTCATAAAAAAAAACAAACAAAAAGCCGCATTTTAGATCAAAACTGGAGTCAACCGGTCCGATCGAATTCCTGCCAATTCCACCTAGTAAGGCCTTCCCCTTAGAAATTTTGGGATTACTAGCCACCTTTAGATTACAATTTTTCTTCGAAGACTTGTATTTTAGATTTATATTATGTCTTTTAAATATTAACATATTGCTTAATATATTTGTTGAGGTGCTAGTCAAGTCCCACATGAGTTTCATATGGGAAAGATCATTTATTTATAAAGTAGAGATAATTTTTCTAGTACGAGACCTTTTGGGGAAATTTAAGACCAAAACTGATGATGCTAAAGATAGATCATCTAATGTAGTTGAAGTAAGATGAGTTGGAAGAGTAAAGTGGATCACTAGCCACGAGCTTAATGATCTCGAGATACCTACGATCAGAGCACACGTAAACTATGATGGGGGTTAATTCGGGAGAAATTCCTCCGACGCTCAAGTCAGACGCGTGGATTGCAAATGTTGTAGAGAGAATTCAGAGAGTAGTTTGTTGGGCTGAGATTAATTGATTGTAATTGTCGGACTCTTTGAAGGTGATTAGGCTTCCATTGCGGTGGTTTTTAAAATCGGGCTCGTGGCCCAGTTATTGAGAAATCGTACCCGTTAAGCTGGGCCAATTAAGCATATCAAAAATCAATTGGAACCGAAACCGAACCGCGTACATAAATTTATCCTATATAATAGTAAGGTGCAAAAAATGAGCTACTCAAAAGTAGAAAGACAAGAGCATGAGAATATAGCACACAACATAAATGCTAGTAAATGTATGTATGGTAGGTGAAGTAGTTTGTCCTTTTATGAGGAATATTTATATATAATATAATGTGGAATTTCACACGCGCACTACTAACCGGGCAGGCACCTGCTTTCTTCTCCTAACCAACCGCCTCCATTTCTTTTCTCATACATATATATTAATATATATCACACCATTTTTTTCATATAATTATAATTAAGTATTTATTTTATTCACACACATAAATCACACACATATGCATGTATGTATGTATGGCGAAGAGATTATCATCATCATCGTCGGCGGCGGCAGCTCTGAACAAAGGTTCATGGACAGCAGATGAAGATAGGAAACTAGCTCAATGCATAGAGATGCATGGCCCCACCAGGTGGAAATTTTTGGCTCTCAAATCAGGTAATTAAAATTGTAAATATATATCATATAGTTTTTTTTTTTTTTTTTTATAAACTATTTTTAAGAGAATTTTCAAAAACTGTTGAGAGCTTATAAGCTGTTAGATATCATCTTACTATACAATTTTTTGGAGAGCTGATTATAAGCTTGGCCAAACATCCTCGTGGTGTTTATTGCAATTAGTACCGCTGTGTTATATCGAATTGCTAAAAAGTTACGCTATATTATTTTATGCTTCATTTTTTTTAGCACACATAAACCCTAAACATGTATACTAATTATTATTTTTTAAATAAATCACAGTGGCTTTTCCAATAAATTAACATGGGGATAGTTTTTTCTGCAATTCGATACAAATTCGAGTCGATACATCACAGGGGTATTATCGTCAATAAATTCATACATCATGAATGGATGAGATCGATGATGTATGAATTAATAAGATAAATTGGTGCAGGGTTGAATAGGTGTGGAAAGAGTTGCAGATTGAGATGGTTGAACTATCTTAGACCAGATATCAAGAGAGGCAATATTTCTGATGCTGAAGAGGATTTGATACTCAGGCTTCATAGGCTCCTTGGAAATAGGTAATTATCTATATTTAATTAACATTCCTCTAATCCTTCCCTCCGTAACGTATTCTCTCGTGTAAAGAAAACTCGATTTCGAACAAATATGATCACATAATATTAAATTAAACAATGTAATGTAATGTAATGTAATGTAATGAAGATGAATCATGTTACATATATCCATGATCATAATAGCGAAAAGTGTCCCAGTGTAATCTTGAAATAGCTAAAAATCCCTGTGTAATCGCTTTATTTTCTTTTAGATTCAGTTTGGCCTATATTTTATGTAATTATAATTAGATAGTATATTTGTCATTTCACCTTCGGTCAACCATTAAAATCACAAACTGTGGTATTTACGAAATTTCACGGGGTGGGGGGGGGGGGCTTTTTGCTAGTTTATTTATCACGGGGGGGTTTCGCTGTTTCAAGGTTACAAAAGGGTATTTTTTACAGTTTACTCTACATAAATATATGTATAGGTGGTCGTTGATTGCAGGAAGACTTCCGGGAAGAACGGATAACGAGATAAAGAACTATTGGAATGCACATCTAAGGAAGAAGGCAAAGTTAATGGAGAAGTTACCAGCACCAAGCTCAACTGCAACAATATTGCAAGATAATAATAACGAAGATCGCGAAAAAACAGTGGGAAGTAGCTGCAGTACTGGGGCTGTAGAGATTATAAAAGAAACACAAGAAAGTAAAGATCGAGACGAATACTGGAGCTCTGACGACGACGATGATGGTGGTGGTGATGTTGAACGCTTTGATTCCTCAAGAAAAGGAACCAAAGGATTGAATTGGGTCAAAACTTTTCTTGAACTTGAGGAAGAATCTTAAATCTTTTGGATGGATGGATATCAAGAATTTGTAAGCAAAATTCTATATTAAATGGTCCGTTAACCTCGTTTCGTTTCGTTTTTTTAACGTAGTAGCTCTACAATTAAAGAGTTAAAGGTTGTTTTATTTGATAGATAAATTAAAGTCAATAAGGTCCAGTTATGTAACAATATATGTAACTCATATTTGTGGTCTATCTCCTCTACATTATGAATTATATTTGTGGCCCTCTCTTCTCCATTATTAATTCATAGAGTGTGCAGACATCTTTCATCCCATAGTCAGAGAGGAAAAGGTGAGTCACTATAAGATTTCAAGGCTTGTTAAGAGGAGTCTTGTAGGATTGCTTAGGCAATGTTTGCTTCGGTTTTGGCTTCACTTTTATTCCCCCGGGAAATGAATTCGTTTTTGTTCAACTTTTTCAAAAAAAAATCTCAAAACAACTTCTAAAATTTATCTCTCCTCCGGACATGATTTGACTGTTTCACTAAAAAAATATTTTTGCTAAAAAACAAAGCGTTAAATACAACTTACACCCCTAAAGTATATCTTCTGCAACACTTACTCCTTAAAGTATCATTTGTAACACTTATACCCTAAGCACAATTTAATTTGTAAATTCTAATTAAGATTTTCTCTTTTATTGAAAAGAATAACTAAATTATACAACTAAAAATATTTGTTGACACATGCAATTTTTTAAAATTTAAAAATATTATCTTGCGTTGGCTATATATTTAATAAATAACATTTAATTGTTGTTGAAACAATTGATCGAATATATTCATATCAATAAATTTTAAGAAATCAATACACAACTAATAGTAATCTTATGTATTTAAATTTTTATATAAGTTCATTAATTTCTTAAAATATATTTTCATTCATTATTAGACAATATATATAAGTTTTGAATTATTTTCCAATAATTTGATTTTAGTTATTTTTCAATTTTATATTGATCGAATACTTATTACATTGTTAAGTTTATTATCTTTTAAATTTTAAAATATAAAATAATTGATGTTGAGGGATACGAGTTACAGATGATATTTTAAGTGGGTAAGTGTTACGTAGGCTATACTTCAGGGGTGCAAAGTATCTTTAACCCAAGATAAACATAATAACTTTATTTTTCAAAGTTTTCTTCTAAAATACATTTTTTCAAACAACTTTAAACATCTGCTACAATTTATTTTATTTTATCTCAAATTATAAACAAAGTCAGTTTTATTCTCAAATTATTCTCTCAAAGCGTATTCATAGTCTCTACTTGAACCATGGGAACGGTATATACCTACCTACATTTATTAAATGACTTCATTCACACGCACACAATTCTAGCTTCAAATATTCTAAATTCTTCTCAGAGTTGTCAAGTTAAAAATGAAAAAAGTGTGGGTTAACATTCCCTTCTTGATTCTTTGCCGTAGAATTTAGATAACGTGACCCTTCTTTTATGTGATATAAGCCGCAAGGAATGAGGAGAAAACAAAGCCCGCCTAGTTGTAAATTTTACAGCGTTCAGATAAAAGAAGGGTCACGCTATCGGAATTCAACCGAAATTTCGGAAATCATGGACAACGAGTTTGGAAGGTCACAAACGCTACCCGAGTAAGCTTTAATTATCTCGTCGTCGGCTTTGCAAGGTAACCGCGGAAGAAGAAAATACTATTTTATTAAATGATATAAATGTGTGTGTGAGGGATCAAAATAAAAATGAAATTAACTAATCATAAATACAGTAGAACCTCAATAAATTAATAACCTCGCTTAAATAATAAATTTTCCCGGTCCCGACTCAGGGACAACGTGATAAATTAATAATTCACTAAATTTATAAGAGAATACACATTCGGAAATTTTAAGAAGCCCCATATAATATATAAATTAATAATGCATAAAAATAATTCTTAAATTACATGGCACAATATATATTTTATGGATCTATTTTTGGATGGGTGGTTTAAAGTTTTTACGAATAATGATATAATTGACTTTCACGAATTCAGTAATAAATGGATTTAAATTTTATAAAAATATAAGGGGTAGCAAAGACATTTTGGACATATTATTATTTATGTTTTTTAATATTAAGAAGTTGTAATAAAAGGGCGTTTTGGACAATATATAAGCGATTTTAGAAGCATGTTTTATGTGAGTTGTGTTGTTGGGATCCCACCGTAGATTTCGTACTCAATGCATCACCATCTACATTGACCTGTCCTTGATAAATATTTAATGCTCAAATCATAATCATTCAAAAGCTCGATCTAATTAACCATCTCATCTCTCTCATATTAAGCTCCCTGTGGATAAACAAGTACTTCAAACTCTTATGAAGAGTGAAAATCTGACATTTCTCTACAACTTCTGATTCTGAGAGTCTGCAACACATCCCGAAGATGTTTCTCGTGATCCTCATTGCTCCTCGAGTAAATCAAAATATCATCGATAAAGAGCACCACAAATTGGTCCAGAAAAGGCTTCAGGACCCTTTTCATCAATTCCATAAATGCCGCAGGTGCATTAGTTAAACCAAACGGCAATCACAAGAAACTCATAATGGTCGTATCTAGTTAGAAAAGTTGTTTTGGTGACACCAACTATCTTAACCTTCAAGGGATACTTGGTTGGTAAAATAATGCTCAATGGACATCATCCATTGGAGAAAACTTGAGCACGCACCAATAAGTTGGTCGAATAGTTCATCGATCCAAATCGGTAAGGGATACTTTAAAGAAATGGTATTTTTACCAGTATATTTTATTCCATTCTTTTACAATCAATATATACACGTAGATTTGTATCTATAAAAGGAAAATGGATCCTAAAATAATTATTACACATATATATATATATATATATATATATATATATATATATATATATATATATATATATATATATATATATATATATATAT